GGACACTGCACTTTTCAAGCCGTCTTGCAGCCCGTTTGTGGATACGACCCCCTCCCTTTTCGGTCGGCTGAATACGACCCCCTCGTTGTTCTTTGCGCAACGCAGGGTTGACCCTGCTTGGAACACCGGCGACGAGATCAATTTTTCCAATTAAATTATATTCAAAGCAATTCTAACTTTTCATTTATGAAGCACCAGTTTTGCACCGCCCGCTATCGCGCGTATCACGCGACAATCACGTGAATGTGTTTGATTCCGGGCCAAGCATCAAAAAGTTGTTCGCAACATGTCATTGGACCATATCCAAATTTTATATAATTTTATCTAGCGAAGGCTACGGTTAAAAAAGTAATTTGCGAAGGGATTTTGATCATTACTGTAATAGCATGACCCCACTCAAACCTACTGTCCGCCATAAGAGTAATGGTAAAGAAGAAGCGGTAGAAGCACCGCTAAAACTCCGCTGTTTGTACGAAAGACTGGATTTTGTTGAATTTGAATTTGTAATATTTTCTACAAAGCTTTAGCTGGCGATGTGGTGATACTTGTAAAACGAAACGAAGAAACTTGCTTCTATTCAGGTATCTTGGGAGTAGCAGCAATGATGGATTCTTTCCAGCTGAACGAGATTCACTGAACATGAGAGAACGCGCTGTTACACAGATAGGTTTGCATAAAGGCAAAGCACAGTTTTTATACACATTTTGTGGGATACCAAAAGCGGACAGGTGTCAGGATTCGCGAATCGCGAGCGTGATGCAACAGTTAGCAGGTCCACAATGAGCAGAAGAAAGTTAATCTGCTGGCGACGGGCTGCGGCGATAGCTACTTCGTCGATCATTATACATAAGAGCACTCGACAGGAGGCCCGTTGCACGGCCAGAAGGCAGAGACGTAGACCGGACAGCGGACGAGTAGCAGCGCGTACTGCTGTAATTTGGCGCCTATTTAAATAAAATGTGCTATAGTACGTCCCACATCACTTAGAGTCCATATCCGACCAGTTGAGGGGGCGGTCCCACGGACTTTCTAGCGCTGCGGCGCAACTGCGCCGCAATGGAATGTTGCCATTCCATAGCGAATCTTAGTGGTGAAGACGGGTGGCTGACAGCCCGTCTGCATTTGTGCCATATCGTCGGTCGACGAGCCTCCTGACGGGTACCAGCATCCATAACACTTCATGTCTATTAAACGATCTGTATTACAAGCTTGGGGTGTTGCCAGTTGCAGCAACAAGCAGCATGGGCCGAAATCACGGAGAGCTGATACGCGACTTGGCAAACGACGCATTCTATCCAGAACCATGTCAAACATGACAAGTGAGTGCGAAATGCGACTGCGTTGTTTGCAGAGGGACAAAGACGCCGTCGTTTGTAACGTTTGCTTTGTCTGGACTGGGGAATATGGCAGGTCTCTTGCGACCAAAACATGATCGAAGTACGTCAACGCA